GCAGCGTTTTAGTGTAATTTTTTTTTTTGTTTTTTTTTTTTTAATATCAAAAATTACGAAATTTAAAAAACAAAAGTCAACATGTAAAACGCTGTCTGAGACAGCGTTTTTAAGTTGAATTTTTTATAAAAAAAAAAAACCAGGGCATAAAACGCTGTACGAGACAGCGTTTTACCCTGAAAGCTTAGTTTGGTAAATACTTTCGCCACGCAACCATTTACGTATATATTTTGCTACTTAAGCTTACTTTGGGAAAACGTCCCATGAGGATGAAAAAAAGAACAGACAGAAGGATTCATTTACTTGATCTCCACCCTCGGCATCAAAAAAGTTTTAGTAGTGGTTAACAAAATTGATAATCCAACTGAGAATCAACAAAGGTTTGATTCATACTTTTTCGTGCATGCATATTAAATTAATGAAAATATTTTTGTTATTCTTTAGTTCCAGCTATAATGAAACAGCTGATTTCCTAACTAGTGGACTTGTACTTTTAAGACTCACAGCTGGTACAGGTAATGGATTCAATTTCGATAAACGCTAAATTTTCATATCATTTACTTTTTCATTAATTTGTTTGACAATGTGTTCTTTACTCTTTTTAGATATCAAGTGTCTCCCATTGTCAGTTAAGAATGATTTAAATTTTCAAACTAGAATGGGAGAAGACTTGTATATGGTGGAATGGTCCTTGCTTCATTGAGTTATTAGATGAATTTGAAGTGTCAGCTGCTCGTACCAGTGAAGCCCCGACTCGATGGTATGTTACATTGTGTTGTTTGCCTTTTTTTTTCATTCTTTGTTAACAAAGCTTCTCATGTAAATACGTGACATTAAAATAGGTAAATAACTATAATGATAATTTGTTTAATTTTCATTGACATTGCTATCTTTTGTTATATGTAGTTTATTTCAAGGGGCATATTCATCCCTGAAATTTAGGAAGAGGATTTTCTGACCAAATAGAATAACCAATATCAATCTGGACCGGTTCAAAATCGGTGCTAAAGAGAGGTTTTAAACCGGTGCTCATTTTCATTTTTTGTCTAGTGATCTATTTACTTTTACTAATTTATGCACGTTTTGGTAGGATAAGTCATGACACTTGTAATTTTTATTTTTGTTAGGGGAGTTAATATCCAATCAAAGTTTATGGTATATTTGGTCAATACTGATTTTGGTATAGCCGAAATGCCATGTGTTGGTGCATTGTGGTATAAGCGAGCTTCAACCTTGATAGGTTTGAAAAAATATGTCGGTAAGTAGTATTTTTTTTTTCTATCTATTTCATGTAAAATTTTGTTAAAGACTTAAAGACAATTTTTATTTTTTTTATTTAGCGGCGTTTGAGGCAACTTCAAAAGCAGGAAAACTTGGTTTGTTTAAAGACCCTCATAAGCTAAAAATTGTGGCTTCCATGATGACTGCAGGATAATATTCTAAATAAAAACAGTTCACTTCTGATGGTTATTAAATTTATTCAATTTTTTTTAAAAATATGGTTGTTTTTTAAATACAATCATTATTATCGAATAAAAAAGGACTTTGTTGCCGCTACCAAATGGTTCCTTGTGGTAAGAGACTTTTATGCAAAAGAAAAAAATACCAACGCCCAGTGCATAATTCAAGATTTTTTGGATCAAGCATGGAAATAGTGGGATAATCCAAGCAGTGGCGGGATCTAGAGTTTGACTCAAGTGGGTTCAATAAAAAGTAAACACATAGTTTCAATTATATATTTTATACATTATACTTGTATCAATTACTTTATGTAATGTTTAAATTTTTAAATAATTAACACTCCGTATTTAATCAACAAAATGCCCTGTACCAATTATATATGTAACGTAAGAGAGTATGATTAGATGAACCATAGAAAAACAAAATCCGGAGAAAAATTTTGTGATAATGTATGGATTATTAATTAAAAAGACACTTAAATGCATGGAGTAGAGTAATAAGGAGTAAATATATATCCTATTTTCAAGGGATTTGTAAGTATTCCCACATACACAAATTTATGAAATGATCATGAAAGGCTATAAAATTGAGAATTTAAAATAATTTTATATAGTTTGTTGTTTTCCTAATTTTATAAGCAAATTTGATAAATTGATATATATACATGGTTAGGTTAGATATGTAGGGTCAATTGTACTCATTTTGGAGAAATTAATGATTTTTTATCAATATTTTTTTAGCTTTTAATCCAAGAAATGAAAAAATTTAGGGAAAAGCAAGGTTTTTTTTTTTTCTTTCCCCAAATTTATTTTTTCATCATAAACGTTTTCTTTTCTTTTGATTACGCGTCTTAGAAAAGGAGGGCCAAAATCATCTTCCTCGGAATTAATCGTCTCATCTGATGGATATGGACTTCGTTCATCAGAAGCCTGTTAACCGGAAGGTCCTGAATTCGTCTCTTGATCATCATTGTCGCTGCATGGGCTATTGATCAGGCAAATGAAGTTGGCTCCAAGAACTAACTTGGTGGTGGAATGGTCAAAGGGTAAAGGAGTGGGAGGGCTAGGGAGAGTAACGGAAGTAAGGAATGAAATTAAAGAATGTTTCCTGTGAATTAGTTTTTTTTCTCTTGTTTCATACAAAGTTGCTTAAAGTTGAGGATTTGTTCTCGAGTTTTGAGTTGTTTGGAAACCTTGTGGATGATTTTCCCGAGGTTGTCCCATGAGATTGTTTCGCCATCCTTCATTTGGTTTTTACTCCTTAATCTTAGTTTGGTGTTGCAGTGTTTTTAGCTTACTAGAGAGAAAGAAAGATGGAATGTTTGAAAATGTTTAGTTGTGACTAGTTTGAAATTGAACCTTGATTATGATGAAAGAGAAAGGGAGAGAAGTCGTAGTGATGAAAATTATGAAATGATTTACATGTATTTTTCAAGGGTGTACTTCTTTCCTCCTCTTCTTTTGTACCATTTGAACTTTTTCACATATCTACTTCCAAAGTTCTAATGCGCGGCTATTCCATATACCAAAATATTAACCTATTTCTTTTTTCAAAGAAAATAATATTAACCTATTTCTAATGCAAATATATATTCATGTTTCCAACCTTAACTTAATGCATTAATATTTAATATATGTGACACTTAATCATTGTTTTTCACTATCTTACTTTACTTAATAGCCACATAAATCACCAAACGTGAAAATCTTTCAGGAATAAAGGGAATAGTAAATATTGACACATTTAAATATGTTATAGTTTCTAATCTGAGTAAGTAATAAAATACTTAAATAAGGTGAACTAAACAAAGCTTAGGATATGACTAGCTATAGCGCGCACATAGGGTACATAGTGGCATGGTGCACCTAGTATTCTAATAACATAATGTTAGCTTTTGCCCTTTTTTTTTTTAATGATTTACTAAATAATAATCATTCAAATTCCAACCTTATAAAAAGTAAATAATTACTCTTATCAATAGTGTGCCGCCAATTATACTCTTCAAAATGTGTATCTACATATATACCCTTATTAATATGAACAAGTTTTTTTTCTAATGAATAATATTTGGACAATTATACCGTCTAAAATGTTTATTTACTTATTTACCCTCATCAATAATAATATTTTTTTTAACTCTTAAGAATAATGCGTGGACATTTATGACGCTAAATATATTTCTTTACTCTCATTGTTGCTGCCAACAGCTAAATTTGTGATGCAAGGTCAAACCGAAAGAGTATCGAATATGGTAAACTGTGGTGTGCACATCGCGCGCATTAGCTATCCTAGTAAGAAAAGAAAAAAAATCCTTAAAATACGTTGTACATCCAAGTATACATAACCAATAAGTGAAACTAACCCTTGTACATGAACATTAAAATACAGAAGTCAACGAACAGAATTCTCTAGTGAGTGCATAATTGCATATGCACTTGTTAAGCTTAAATGTTACATAAGTGTTAAGTTTTACATAAGTGTTATAATTTTGATTCCGTACTATTTTACAGTTTTTCAAAATAGTCAAGCTCGGTTATTTACATAAGTGTTAAGTTTTCGGAACGTAATTTAAGGGTTATAATTTCGATTCCGTACTATTTTACAGTTTTTCAAAATTTTGTTTTTAAGAAGTACTACGTAATTTTTTATTTTAAATGTGAGTTTATAGACTTTTATCACCCATAATGAGTATATAATTTATCTCATTCCGTCCCATCACCCGCCAAACCTCTATCCATCCCTAAGGGGATGGTCGGCTCTCTTATTTGACCCGTCCTACCGTTATCCCTAGCCACAAACCCACAATGCATCCAACCAAATTCAAGGTTGTTAGGCAAACGTAAACACTTCTAATTACTCCTTTCTAGATCATTACAAATCAAATTCAACAAGTTTTGATTATTCATGTGAACAACTAGTAAGAGTAATACTTGTCTTTACTTAAACGTAAGAGTAATACTTTCTCCGTTCTTTTTTACTTGACCCGCTTTGACTTTTACACTATTCATCACCTCTCTTTTGACCATCTTTTGTGAATATTATGTAAGGAAAAACATATTCATGTGGGATCTTTTTAAATTCGTCTCAATAAATACTATCATAATATATAACTTTTATAATTTTTACATATGAAAAATTAAAATTATTGATCGTTATATTTTTAACGTGATAAAAGAAACAGATCAAGTAAAAAATAACAAAGGAAATAACTAATAGTACCTTAGCCAACCTTCAATTTTTTTTTTTGAAGGAAATGTTGGCCAACCTTCATTGCTCTTCCGTGAACAACTAAATACTTAATCTTTTTTTTATTCTTCTTCTTTGTTTAATCTCTCTCGCTTTATCTCTGCACTATCGCAAACCTGAAGTTCTGAACTAGCTTTTTTTCTTTTTTCATTTTTCATTTTTACTGTTGTAAGCACAAATTATACTTTGGGTTTGTTTCTTCAACTCATTTCATTGGTATATAACCTGTAAATTTAATTACAGTAATAAAGATTGCATTTTTAATTTTGTTTTCGTTGCAGATTAAAAGATAAATGGCATTTGCAGTAAAAGCTCAAGTGAATTTGAGCATTTCTTCACAACGCAAATTTGGGGGATTTTCTGGGAGTAAATATAGAAATTCTGGGTTTGAAAATGGGCGTAGTTTGTTTGTTTCAGCAACGATGTCAAGCAGCCCTGCTCTAAATGTCGAAAATCTTTCTATCAAGTCCAAAGATATTGGATTGCCCCTTATGGTATAAACCCTCTACCGTTTTCTTGATTAGTTGCTATTCAATTTGTAATTCTTGTCCTTGCTATCATGTTCAATTGAATCTTGCTAAAGTGTATTCGTGTTGTAAATTGATATATATACTAAGTATATTTTCTGAGAAACTGTTGAAATTACTGAATTTCGAGCCCCGGAAATGTAAACTTGACCTATGTTTTGTGGATGGAAGGAGTGTATGAGTTCTATTTAGCTGTATAAACCATCAATTGTTATGTATAGACGCTTATATCAATTTATCAAGACTTGAATTATAACACATTTATCTCATTAGTAGAATGGTAGTACTACATAAAATTTTATTTCTTCCACATGTATATGAGTAACTTACAATGGATATAAAACCTGATGACTGCTGTTTGGTTTCCTAGTGATATCCTGCCGTCAAAACAGTCAAATAAATGAAAAATTTGCCCAAAATGACTTGTAATTTACTTATAGCCCTTTGTAATTTACTTATAACGTGTATGAGTTCGAAGTTATGATACCATATCCAATATGTGCTCAAAATAACTTGTAATTTACTTATAGCCCATTGCTGCTCTTTGATTTTACCGTCTCCTATATGTGCATAAACTTGCAAGATTTGGAACTTTTAGTACAATGCTTAACTAGAATGCATTGAACAACAGCTATAGGCTAGGGTTTAGGCTTATTGTTAATCTTATTATCCAATTCGGTCTGTTAGGGTTGTCGTACAGAGATGGTGTGCTATTGGGCTGGATAGCCTTGAAAAGCTGCAAACAAATACTATTCTATTGATGACTGAAGGTATAACTAAGAAACCAAGTTGGGCCCATCGTGGAAAACTCATTGACCTCTGCCATTTTAAATGAATCATGATAACTCTATGTAGGATATACTTGTTCCTGCTGCCTGAAATTCTTGAGCTTCAATCAGCCTAATTTGTGTTCTACTTAGCTTCTGTTTGCATCCTCCAGGTGGTGCTTTGGCTTGATTTCTACTCTTTAGTAGGTTGAACGATTTATTTGTCACTTTCGTACTTGTTATTGAGTCATGAAATGCTTAAGGCACTGTAATTCTTCACTTCAAGTATTATAGCTTAGACTTTATTGTAACATGCTATTGTCTATCTGATTTCATTTGCATACATTTGAAGTAATTTTTCAGTAGTATGATATCCTAAAGTCAAAATCTGTTTTTTGCATTAAGCTTAGAGCTAATATGAAGTATATCAAGTAAAAATTAAAAGATCTTATATGCTGCCTGTTTTACTTAACCTTGCTATTTTTCTTGAAATATTTTACCATTGGTTTTTATTGGCGGGGAGGGTGGGGGTGAACACAGTTTTAGGTAATACTGATTATTCTCACTGAGGTTCTCTGACACACCATGCAATTTCTCCTGTAAACACAATTTCTTCTCCACCTTTATCTCCCAGCTGAATCTCACAAAGTCATATAGCTGATTGGAACTGGCTATATTCAGGAAGTTCTCAGTGCTTTTCAAGTGGCATAAGGGGAGAGAGGGGATGCCTTTTTGTATCGGTGTGTTTAGGTGTTAATATTTAGATACAAGTCCATATGACTGCAATGGGTAGAGGTATAGAGTTCAAGAGACATGGGTGCTGTATAAATTTATGGCTGGCAATCTTCAACTCTAACTGCAATTTATTTATTCTTCTTTTTTATTATCTCGGCATCCTTAACATGGGTAGTGGGAACTAGAAACTACTTGCAATTTATTGGCTATAGAAAAGGCTTTTTGAACTTTCAGTCTTACCTTTAATGCTGGAGGTCAATTAAAAGTTTATTCAATGTATGTTTTATGAAGCTTTCTGATTGATATCTTTGGTGTAAGCTAAGTTCTCTGATTACACAACTAGATTGTTTTTTACGTATTGTTTGGTATTCCTTAATTATAGGTAAGCATTGATCTGATTCTTTGCTGCATCGGTTTTGTTGGAATTTTTGAAATGACCTTAGTGTTTGACATTAGAATCTTCTGGAAGATGTTGGTTGCTTGGCTGATCCTAGGAGTTTGCATCATGCTTATTTAATGGTCCCTAACTCCCTATTAATTAAAGGAAGTTGTTGAAGTTATACCAATCTGATACCTGTCCATTTATGGGTTTTCTTCTTGCACCTGTGACAAACTAGCCATGGGAAATAGGTATACTTTGGTGTTAGAATATCTGTTAGCCCCTTTCAAACGGCTATCACAGGGGTCTCATTAAGTCATTTGTGAACCACATAAAATCTGTGTTCTTGTTTTTGTTAATTTCGTCAATCTTTCTTGCATGTGTTATAACATGTGGATTATGGCATGCTCTAATTCCTAGATTTCAAAAGCTTAGCGTCAATTTTATGTCTTGGTGAATTATAAAACTTCAAAATTATGGCATGCTCTAATTCCTAGATTTCAAAAGCTTAGCGCCAATTTTATGTCTTGGTGAATTATAAAACTTCAAAAATAACATCTAGAAAAATATAACAATAATGCTAGATGCCAGAAAACTTATACCTATAACAATGTGGTCAGCTATTGATTATATATTTTGAGCTACTGAAAGAAAATCAAAGAAAGCTATCTTTAATTATGTTTCATTCGACGGAAGTTGACAGAATTATAGTCATTGTTCTGCTATAATTTTGTTGTTGACAGAGATGGCAATTCACTTTATGTGAATATCATAGTTATAACATCATGTGTTACAGTGTTAGGCAGATGTTTTTTCTTAGAAACTTTGTTCTATTTAATTCTTTGATTGTAGGTCAATAGCTGCATGGGGAAAATGGGAAAGGCGGTTATTGAAGCAGCAGCTAATGCTGGACTTCATATTGTTCCTGTATCATTCGGTGCTCAAGAGGAGAGTGGGCAGTTTGTCCAAGTGGGGGGTAAAGAAATTCAGGTCCACAGTCCTTCAGAAAGAGAAGAAATCCTTGCTTCTGTCTATGATGAATATCCTGAGCTGATTGTGGTAGACTATACTGTGCCGACTACAGTAAATGGTATGCAGAACATATGAAAATTTGCAACTTATAATTCAGTTCTTTTTTTCGCTTAAAAGTACTGAATGGGGTGCAACTGTTTGATAATTGACACCATCTGAGTCTTATCATGTTACTAGAAAATTAAAGAAGCCCCCATTGTAATAAAGGGCTGTAAAATAACAGGTTTACACCTTCAATGTGGATGCTTCCTTGTTGACAAGCAATCATCAATCATTATCTTTTGTGCAATGCCTCATCTCCTTATTTTCTTTTTCTTGGCTATCTTGTATTTGACTATTTTATATAATAATCAATGTGTGATCATTAGGTTTTTAATATTTATCATGTCTTGGCTTGGTCATATCATTCTATCTATATTGAGTTTTCGCTTTCTGCTGAATGCTTACTTCATGCATATTCTTTGTTATCCTGGGAAATTTTACTGTATTGAAGTTTTCAGTTTATATGCGATTTGTGTGTGTCGCGCGCACATGTGTGTGTGTGTGCGCGCGCGTTGTGTGTGTGTGTGTGTGTGCGTGTGGCCGTGTGCGCGTTGTGTGTGTGTGTATGTATGCGCGTGTGTGCGTGCGTGCACGTGCGCATGTGTTTGTGTGCTTTCAGGGGTGAGGCTACGTTTCTCCTATCTTATTTGTCTAGGATGTTGTCTTAGACAAGGTCACGGGAGACTATCATCATATTTTTTTTTTAAGATGATGTCTTGAACAAGGTCATGGGAAATATTCAGGTTTTCTCATCATACGTGGATTTTACCAGTGAAACTTCAAACCAAGCTCTCTACCCTTTTGTTTCTATAGATAAACAATTTTGTTGGCCAGCGGTAAAGCTAGATGCAGAAAGATAGAACCCTAGTGCAACCATTTTAAAAATGTGCCATAAATGATATGGGCCTGATTGTTGAATAATTTCAGGCTAGACTCAAAGTTGCTAATGTTTATTTCAGTATGTAGAAGGCTCTATGATAATAATATTGTTGGAGAAGTATCCAATCATGCTTTGATTCTTGGAAATACCTTCTAGTTTGATTGATCATTTTGTATAACTTGGTATGCAGATAATGCAGAGTTGTATTGCAAAATTGGGGTGCCATTTGTGATTGGAACCACTGGTGGAGATAGGGAGAGACTCCATAAGACTGTGGAGGACTCAAAAAATTATGCTGTCATATCACCGCAGATGGGAAAGCAGGTGTTCATTTATAGTCCTGTAGCCTAAGCCAGTTTCAAAATATCTATTGCAGTTCTCTTCACTGGATATCTAAACCCTTGGCTATTTAAGGTTGTGGCATTTCTTGCAGCCATGGAAATTATGGCGGAACAATTCCCTGGAGCCTTTTCTGGATATTCTCTTCAGGTATTTCCTCTCCTCATGCTCTCTGATGCATACAATTTTATTTTATTTTATTAGCTGGTTTCAGCATTTGCCCCATTAACTGTTTGGATGGAGCAGTTTCCATTTTAATAGTGCATGCCTTGGCAAACTCTTGTGATATTTTTGAGTACTTTAAGGTGGATGTAGTTTTTTGTTGTTACTGACCAATCTGAAAGTAATCTTATTCAATCAGTGTCGAATCTGTTATATGATATATGGTTGAGTATTGTCTGCCAATTATGAGTTTGATTCTGCAGTTGCCACGTCATATATTTGGGTTGAATGGCATGATTTATCTGCTAATTATTGGATATGGCTGATAACTTGTGTTTTGAAGGTCATGGAGTCTCATCAAGCCAACAAAAAGGATGCATCTGGGACTGCTAAGGCTGTTATCTCATGCTTTCAGAAACTTGGAGTGGACTTTGATATGGATCAGGTAGGCGTCTCTTGTATACAGGTTACTATGTTACTCGGACTCTTCATTTCACCTCACGTACCTGTGTCGGACCCTCGACACTCAGACATGGGTATGACTCCCAGACACTTCACTTTTAGTTCAAAATCATGGAATTTTTTCACAAAATAGCCGGACGCTTGGACACATACCTGTGTCCGACATGGGTACCCAAGTCCAAGTAACATAGTACAGGGCCAAGTAACATAGTACAGGGGTTAATTACTTTGGTGAACCCTTTTCCTTTATTTTTTTTTAATTTTTTTTTATCAATTTTTTTTTTTTTATAGTCCTTCGGATGACTATTTGATCCCTGTAGGCAGATTAGGAAAATCCAAATCATCTTTCTGATAACATTATATTACTTACACATGGAAAAGTAGCATTACTAACTATCCTTGATGGCATACTTGGATTGAGAGAGATGTATTAATAGGGTAATAATAGTCAAACTAAGCAAAATGAAAGTGAATATAGGTAAAGAGGAGATAGTGATGGTGTGATTGTAAGAAAAATTATGTAGTGATGGTGTGGTATGAGGTGAAGAAAGAGGAATTAATACCCTCATTTTGGGGATAATAGTTACACTAGGGGGAGGGTAGGTAACTATTACCCTCATTATGAGTATAATAATTCCTCCATCTCTCTCTTTTCCTTATGGCACAACTACTTTATTTTATTTGTAAACACTTTGTCTCCTACAACAACCCCTCTAATTACTTATGTTTTTTCAAGTTTGACTTTTATTACCCCCCTAATATATTACCCCTCTTTTGCAGGATTATTGGATTTACTATGACATGCATATGTATTCACTTATTTAATCTCATTCAACCTTGACCTTCTTTGTGACCTCTGTTTTAGTGTTGTATGAGTGTATGGAGTGTTACGCTTTACTTATTTTATTTTATTTTTATTTGTTTTGGGAGGGGGGAGGGGGAGTGGATGCCTGGATGGAGACATGAAGTTGTTAATTTTACGTTTGGAGGAAGACATAGATGGAGAATGAGAAGCAAGTCCATACTGTAGTTTACTACCTCTAAGCTTTAAACCTCCATGCTTCTTTGTTAGGTAGCAACACAAGAAGAGAGGTTGGTTCTGAATGCTTTCTGAGCCTGCATCTACCCTAAGGCTAGTTCTGTGCACCTTGCAACAACATTGCTCATAGAATCGTTAATACGAAGTATAAGATAATTTTAAACTGACAATTTGTGGAAAACCTTTTATTTTCTCTACTTTTTGTGATTTTCTCAAATACTATTTTCTTCAGCTTATGATCATCAACTTCAAATCATAGTAAGGTTATTGCTTCACTAAACATAATATTTCGTATATTGCAATATATGTGTTTAGAATACCTTTGGAGCTTTCTTAGAGGCTTGTTAACATCATCTAAAGAACCTTTATTATCCTTGTGTAATTTGAGTTGCTGTTATCATCATCTGTATTTGATCATAATGTGATTTTTTTTTTTTCTTTCTTTCTGATCGTCCACTCAAATTCTTATCAGATACAACTAATACGGGATCCTGAGCTGCAAGTTGAGATGGTTGGTGTCCCAAAAGAACACGTTTCTGGTCATGCATTCCACATGTACCACCTAACGTCTCCTGACCAAACGTAAAGTTGCACTTCCCACTCACTTATTTTAGATTTATGTTTAATCTATTCCTACTAACGAGTTTGGTGCTTTTTGGTCTCTTCTATAGGGTATCATTTGAGTTTCAGCATAATGTGTGTGGAAGGTCTATATATGCTGAGGGTACTGTAGATGCTGCGCTTTTCCTGGCGAAGAAGGTAAATTGCTTCTTTTGTTTAATTGTTTCATTTTCCTTCCCTCTTTATGATGTTAAAATAATGGACATTGAGGTGATTTAATTTCAAATTATTCTCAAAATATGATGGTGCATTGGTGCATGTAGTATAAAAAAATTTCTCTCGTACAAATGAAAGCTCAATGAGCTAGTGCTCATTCTAGGCCTATCTCATACCTTCATTACCTTGTAATTAGTACTTGAGTTTGAGGGTTTATATTTACCCCTCCCTGAGGGCTAAGTATGCTATATGAGGTAAGTGCACCTGTTTTTCGGTGATGTGAAAGTATGGTACCAAGGATGTTATGGAGTATTATATGGTTATTAGTTTGGATCCATTTTTCTGAGTAACATAGCTGTTAGTATGAAATTCTGAAATCAAGAAATTATATTAGCATATCAATTTAAAGAAATTTGGAGTGGATTCCTACTTTCAAAACAGTTTTCTGGCATCAAAATAGGTTTCTAAAAACTTGATTTTCTTTATTTTTTGGCTGTGATATTGATGTTGCACAAACCCATGAGGACTAACATTGCGGTTTGTACAGGTTCAATCTAAGGCTACAAAACGGATTTACAATATGATTGATGTCTTGCGTGAAGGCAACATGCGATGATATGTCTGAACTGTTGTGATTCTTAGAGATCGTTCGCAACTCAGTTCAATGGTTCATATTATCCTACTTTGTACCATTTAGGACGAGATATCTTTGTTGGATAAGCATGTATTGTTTGATGTATCAGTAGGGAAGCAGAGTCACAGGCTTGAGCATAATTTTGTAGTCTAGGATGTTAAGTTGCCTTTGTGATCCAGAATACATGGGAAGCCCCGAGATATTTGGGCTTGGGCCTAGGAATCTTTATTAAAGACTAATATTAAGTGTTACACACTTACACTACTTTAATCACCAATCTCTTTAAACTATAAAATAAAATCAAGACGGAGTTAGTAATAATTTGATGGATGATTAAGAATCCTTGCGTAATATGGTTATTGGTCATCTGGATGACGATGATATGTGTGTCCTAGCGTTGTAGGAGTTTATTTAAAGACGGAGGAAGTATATGTTTTTAGATTGGCATCAATGTCCCAGCCTAGTATAGGGAGAGATGGACCGGTATCCATCACCAAAATACTTCGGATTGGGCTTATTAAGCAGTACGACTTATCTTGTCTAAAAGAATGACATCAAAACTTAAGAGTTAAATTTGCTCAAATTAGCAATAACATAATGACATTATCTATGCACTTTAAATATGTATGTTTCTGCTTAATGACTCAACCTTCCTTTTCCTGGAAATTAATGTATGTTTGCTTAGAAATGTTTAGTGAATATATGACAAGTAAAGCATCTTCTAAACCAATATTTTCCCTAATTCAATGTATGAAATTTGGATACCCTTCCATGCTTCTTAAAAGACTGTTGATTTCTCTTAATGACTCCCTTTTTTCTCTAAGGCATAAAAAAAGTTTACTTAATGCTTATTCAAAATAGTGTGAATCACTCTATTCACATTGCTTTTTATCTTGAAGTCTTCTTTTTCCTTTTAAAAATCTGTAATGTTAGAGCGAGGTCAATTCCTACACTGAATAATTTAAGGTTTAATTTAAGTCGATTTCTTTTGGGGTTTAAAGCTAAACAAGATTCAATTTCACATTATATCGTTGGATACAAATTTTTCAAAGGAATCATGAACCGTGGGGATTATATGATTCAGAGTTTTAAAATTATATTCAACTGAAACGCATATCTTATATATTAAAGTTGTATTGTATAAAACTTTGTAAATTCTATGAGAAGGTGATTATTATCATATATGATTTTTAAAAATTTAGGTCATGGCTCAAAAAAATAATAAATTACGCCATTTAATTTTAACACTATTTAAATAAGATATATATATGTGATTTTAATTGAAATAAATAATAATCTATTGCTCTTCTTTAGCAAACATATAGAATAAGATGTGGCATATTATAAACCGAGGAAAAAAAATTAAGAAGTTGTTCATGTACGGAGTATAAACTTGATTCCAAAATTCAAGTTGTGCTTTTTACAAGGAATTTTATTCTTGCACCAGCTAAGTCAAATGGAAAAAAGATGAAAAGTTAAAGCATAAATGTGTGAATTTTTTTTTTTTTTTTTATTATTTTTTATAGTAAATGTGTGATAATCTTTTGTAAAGGATACAAATATATTCATGTAAAATCTCAAATTCTTACTTTTAGTAAAAGGAATTAAGGACATAAAATAATGGAAAAGAGACTAAAAGCAACCTAATCCAAACCACCAACTTTTATGAAAAATTGCCATGCGTTAGTTTGAGGAGATTAATGCAATATGTAGTACGTGGTCCTCCCACTAATAAGCTCTTACCATGTATATTATAAATTTAAATGACTGTGGGGTTTATATTTGTTTATTTTTATTATTTCTTTTTAGGTCGACCCAAATATTATGAGATAAAGTGCTTTGTTAACAAGCAATTTGGAAGACATTTTAGCACGGTCAAAGTAAATGATCCGTCATTATTTCCACAAACTTGAAAAATTTATAATCAAGTGAATACTATAGTGTCATCTATTTTATTTGGTAGTTGTAAAATAGTACTCTATTTCGCAGGATGGTGGATCCGATAATGGTATTAAAAACCTAATATCAAATTCCGTTAACATATATAATTTTTTATAACTCTCATAATATGTGGAAAAAATAGTAATTATTATAATAATAATAACCTAAGTTATTGCAACCAAAAATTGGTGAGAAGTCTTGTTTAATTTATACGTGACCACAAGTCACACCCTTTAACCAAAAGTCAATTCTTGTTTGGTTCATTAAGAAAATATATAATTCACTTTCTTGAAATTTTGTAGTGTTTGTTATCCAAGTTATTATGCTAATAATCTTTCATCTTCAACTTCATTCTTTTCAAACCTTATTTAAATTTAAAAAAAAAAACGATTTCTCAAGAAATTATTAAAATCAAAATTAATTCCTACTTTGCATCGTTTTAAAAACTTATTCCCTGAATAGTGTTCATGTAGGATCAGGTATTAGTTTTTTTTTTTTTTTTTTTTTTTGGTTCAGTGTAGAACCGCAATTATATTGGTGATAGCGGTTTACATTTACATGATAAATTACAATGATGATAAAAAGTAAAAATTGGGCCCTCCAAAAATAAAAGAAGAAAACACATTTTCTTTGTACCAAGTCTCCCCACTCCCCTGTCTTCCAATTTTCTCTCTCCTCAACTTTCACTCTTGTTTTTTTCTTTTAAAACCTCTTATTTCTTCTTAGATCTTCTCTCTTCTATTCTTCTTTCTCTTTCTAAAACCTAGTTTGTAATTGTAATTTTGTTTTGATTTTCTAGGTAATTTCATACAAGTATGAATTCAGGGGAATATCTCAACATATATATCTTAGCATTCAACCTCAAGAACTTCAATTCCCATGTATTTTTTTTTTTTACTTTCTGTTTTAATTTCTTTGCAATTTTTTGGGGGGCTGTTAAAAAGAAAACTGGCAGATGATTGCATGTAATATAGTGAGATGATTTTAGTGGGACGGTTAAAAAACTTGCAAAAAGAACCATCAATATCAATATTGGTTCTTCAAATACAACTGCTACCAACGATTGTAGTTGTAATTGTAAAACCGCTATCACCAATTGCGGTTCTACACTGAACCAAAATAAAAATAAAAAATAAAAAAAAAATAAAAACCAAAGCTAATACCTTATCCTACGTGGACACTACTTAGGGAATAAGTTTTTAAAACAACGCAAAGTGGGAATTAATTTTGATTTAAACAATTTATATGGAAAACGTTCTTTTAAAAAAGCTATTTTTTCAAATTAAAGTTTAATTTATTAACTATTCTTTTTTAGGGATAGGGCCGAAGCTGGTGAAAAATGAAAAGTACAAGTAATATTTATCAAATATCTTATTTTAATTATTGAAAAGTTAAAATTGCTTCTCTATACATAATATGGAATATTGAGTACATCAAACATGTCATACACATTATAAATATTATATAATTTAAAAACTATAATATAATTGTACTCCGTATTATATTTAGGGGTGAGCGTAGCAGGGTACCCTGTAAAAATCTCAGGACCCGAAACCGGAACCTGTTGCAACATGTTCCTAAAAATAGGAACCGAAATCGAAACCTGTTCAACAGGTTCCTAAAATTTGGAAACCAAAACCGGAACCTGCAGGGTACCCTGTCTTTCAAAGTAAGCTTAATAGTGACTTGATAAATTGCTACAAAATTTTTTTAAAAAAATGGATGCTCACAATAAAAGCTTTTAATACAATACTACGTATATAACAAACCAACACTGATTTTCTAAACTATTTAATAATACAATATACAAATACTTATATTAATACCATTAATTAAACCTTTAAGAGTAAAATGAAAAACGAACAAGAGGAGGGAAAGAGGTAGGTCACGGCTTATATGCAATTTTGATATAGAGCTTTTATAGTTGGGCTTAAATGATATGGTTCCAGTTTCGTGTACCCTATAGGGAACTTGTACTAACAGGGTACCCTACGAGTTCCGGGTCCAAAGTTTTATTATCTGTAACCAGAACCTGTTGCAATAGGTTCCCAATTTTATTACCCAGAACCGGAACCTGATCTACATGTTCCGGTCCTGAAACCTATGATTCCGAGTAGGTTCCAGTTTCAAGTCAAGGTACCCTGAATTTTTGCTCACCCCTAATTATATCTAATCGACATTTGTCTCCTCATGTTTAGTGTAAGGAGGAACCTTTTTCAATGATGAAAAATAAAAAAAAACTTTTAGCTCCAAAATGATGAAAAAATTAGGGATCTAAAGGGACCATACAAATAATTAAATTAGTAACTTAAGGCAAAGGGCAAATTAATTTTGGGTTAATTAGTAGGACCCAATCAAAAGTTAGAGGGTCATGACTCTTGTTTAAGACAGTTGGTCAGTTAGAGATACACTATAAACATGTTATATGATCTCATAATCGTATAAAATCTTAGTGGGACATACTTAGCTTAAAATTATTATTAAATTATTTAAGGAGACAACCATCATTAAAAAAAGCTAAACCCCCCTCCTCTCCTTAATCTTGAAACTTAATCAATACTGTAATTAATTAATTAAACATATAATATTAATTAATTAAACCAACCCACCTTAACTTTACTCCAGTACCAAGAGTAGTAATTTTATTTTTGAAGCATATTTGCACATTTATGGAATTATTATTATAGGTAGTGTAGCATATGGTTTTATTGGGACCTCCAACTGCCATAACTACCATGACTTGGAGTCACATGGGTGCATTGCCTTTAATGACCCGACTAAAGTAATTAAGATTTTTTCTCTCCTCTTTAATAATTAAAAATTTTATAATATGGTTTTGATTAATATGATACTCCATTTGTTGTGCCATATGAAAGAAAAAACAGTTATTCTTGCATAAATGATCTTAATTTGGTTAGTAGTATTGAAAACTTGTCGGTTTTATTACTAAATTGGCTAGGCATAGTGTTATTGATCTTCACATGGCCCCCCATGATCTTCACATGCATGATGTTTATAATGAGTAAGATAATTTTTCAGTCTTTAGTGTTGTTGATTTGTACTAAATTCCATATTTACACTTTAAAGTGTTTTGTGACTTAAGGATTTTGGGAAGAATATGATCAGAGTAATGGTTCGGGACCATCTAAAAAAAAAAGAAATAGAACGTATGTTATGGACCAAAATTGAATCCTATTGCGACACAAATGATTGTTGTTGTTGAGATGGTTTCTTCATTCCATATAAATAATTAGTTATACTATACTAACAAAAATCACGAAAATGTACCTTTATGGACATTTTCTTCTCAATTGTGATGCATTTAAACCAATTCTTTCTTTTCACTGTTAACACAATATGAATTTTTGAAAATTGTGTAC